CCCCGGCTTATCATGTAGCGGTAGCTTTCGGAAAGGTGGAAAACATATATTTAATACTTGCGCCGGGTATTTAATGTTCGGCTCCGCCCGAACTTAGACTTTCTTACTTGTTTATAACTAAAATACGTATTTCAAATGAAACACAGCTATTCTTTGGGGTGGTTTTATTTTAACTTAAAAGGTCTGCATAAAAGTGTTAAAAAAATTTATTAACGCAATATATTGTAGATACTCTCTATCTTTTTACCAGTCTCACCTTGAAATTTCAGAGAGACATATTTACTTGTGTTAGCAACCCCTCTTAACCAGCTAAAACTAAATTAGGCGTTTGGTAGCGACAGCTGACTCGGTTCATACATATGTATACCCACCACCTATGCAGCTAACTTCAAATGCTCTTTTACTAACTAGTAACATATTCGACGCACCCACCAATTTGACTGCGACACTAGCTAAAAGCAAACACGCCAGCATACTCATTTCGTTTTTCAAATTACCCTCAGCAGGGCAATTTCGATATTAACGTTTCGTAGCGCGCTTGAAGAAATAAATTTTGTATTTCCTTGGCTCAGGCAGCTTTGTGAGTAACTTCAGAATTTAAAAAGGAAAAAAAAATATTCAGTTGTGAATATATATTTTTCAATTTTACATTTACAAAAAAGTTTTTTATTTTTTCTATAATTGGTTTTTGCAATTTTCAAATTGAAAATTTTCCAACAATTTATAAGGCGTCTGTAGAACACCAACAACTGATAGCAAATAATAAAAGCAGCAGAAAGAGGTAAAGGACCTAAAAAGGCAAGCACACTGCAGCAGTTGAAGCGTCGAGCATACTGAAAAAGAAAGAAGAGTGAAAGAGGGACTAAGAGAAACATGAATGAATTCGATGGTAAGAAATTCTATGGATTTTCGCTGTACAATGATCCAGAATTGATTACGACGACAAGAAACTTTGAATTTAAGGTAAGATAACGCGCGGCCGACTTTAGGTTAGGAGCGCCACNAGAAGAGTGAAAGAGGGACTAAGAGAAACATGAATGAATTCGATGGTAAGAAATTCTATGGATTTTCGCTGCACAATGACCCAGAATTGATTACGACGACAAGAAACTTTGAATTTAAGGTAAGATAACGCGCGGCCGACTTTAGGTAAGGAGCGCCACANAACTTCAAATGCTCTTTTACTAGCTAGTAACATATTCGACGCACCCACCAATTTGACTGCGACACTAGCTAAAAGCAAACACGCCAGCATACTCATTTCGTTTTTCAAATTACCCTCAGCAGTCAATTTCGATATTAACGTTTCGTACAAGGCGAATTTATATAAGGTGGTGTTGTTTCATCAGCTGTGAGAAGCGTTTGATTGTCAAAATTTTAAATTTCGTTCGTGAGTGAGTGAAAACGTGAGAGTGTTTGCATTTTCTGTCGGCCTTTTTCATTCGGGGAAGAATAGCTGAAATTTGACAATGGCCCGCCAAAAGCAAAAACAAAATACAAGTAATTGTTGTATTTGTTCAATCGATACCACCTTATATGTATTCGCCTTGGTTTCGTAGCGCGCTTGAAGAAATAAATTTTGTATTTCCTTGGCTCAGGCAGCTTTGTGAGTAACTTCAGAATTTAAAAAGGAAAAAAAAATATTCAGTTGTGAATATATATTTTTCAATTTTACATTTACAAAAAAGTTTTTTATTTTTTCTATAATTGGTTTTTGCAATTTTCAAATTGAAAATTTTCCAACAATTTATAAGGCGTCTGTAGAACACCAACAACTGATAGCAAATAATAAAAGCAGCAGAAAGAGGTAAAGGACCTAAAAAGGCAAGCACACTGAAGCAGTTGAAGCGTCGAGCATACTGAAAAAGAAAGAAGAGTGAAAGAGGGACTAAGAGAAACATGAATGAATTCGATGGTAAGAAATTCTATGGATTTTCGCTGCACAATGACCCAGAATTGATTACGACGACAAGAAACTTTGAATTTAAGGTAAGATAACGCGCGGCCGACTTTAGGTAAGGAGCGCCACAAAAAAAAAGAATAGCTCTTTTTAGTTTCTTTGCTATCTCTCCTACTCCCCAGTACGCCCGCCCCGAGCACTTGGAGCGCGCCATACTGAAGGTGCAACACAACGTGACTGAGCATGACAGACACCGCAAAAAGGACATCTTGAATCGACTGTGTAAGGCAAGGAAAATAACTGCCGTTAGCGATGTGAATACGCCTTATTGTCGCGACGCAGATGTCGAGACACAAGTTTCGCGCAATGATGCCACAGGACGCGTGCGCAATTTGAGCGACATTGAAATCAACCATCTGATTGGTAAAGTGAAGAGCTATGGCGACCTACGCAAGCAGAACTCAACCGATACTTACGCGAAAGCTAAGGATACCACAAAAACCGTAAATCCACCATCCGCATTAAAGGGGATTTTGCGACAAAGGACATACGAATTTCCTAGTGGCGGTAGCTTAGGTAACGCTTACCACTGTGGCGCGCGCCAAAGCCACATGGGTGATGTTTGCGTTGGCGTTGATGACAACGGTGATAGTGATACATTTTTTTCGGAGCCCACCTCTGAGGACCAAGTAGTTTATCATCCATTCGACATGCCGCAGGAATCGTTATTTGAGACACACACCATGCAAATGCCACATATGCGACGTGAGCTGCACAGCGGCTTAAATAAGCTGCCCGATGTGCCGGAAGAAGATGAGTTACTCGCATCAAAAACCGTAATGCCAACGATTGTTGAGGAATTTCGGCAGCTTGAACCCAGGTGGGTGGAAATTTGTGAAGTGCCAGCAAAAGCGACAGCTCAATTGAGTGAAATCAAAATGCAAATAGTCAATGATGGTGAAACGTTGGTGCATAAGGAGTCTTCTCCCGAAAGAACCGAGCGTTTGCCAACCGATGTCATGTACACAATGCATTCGCATGAGTTACAGCTGCCGCTACAAATAAATGCGCCGGAAATGATGTTGAAGAATCAACCACCAACACCGCCTAGTCTGCCGAGCATGACAGTTCCTTATCAGCAAAGCAGCTACGATGACAACGCTTCGACGTATGACGTGGAAGATAGTGATCTCGAATACGAGATGATGGGACGCGCTGAATATACGAAACTGTGTGGCCAACGCCCAAAAACCATCGAGGAACTGATCAACGAGTCGAATAACAGCGAAGGCCTAGCACAATTCATCGAAGTCGAAGTATGTAAACAAAATAGAAATTAGCGGTAAATACCTCAATGAACATTCCTTTACAGCCGGCGATTGGCAGCCTTAATTTAAGTTTGCTGAAGAATGTCTCACCAATACGCTACTCGGACGTGACCGATGACCGCGAGGAGGATAAGACCGCCGCTGGTATAAATCAACAGGTTTGCAAGATTGTAAAAACTAATCCATTTGCAAGCAATTCAATTCATCTTTTCTCCTTGTATCTTCAACAGATGAGAGTGTCCATCAATAATCGTGCCATAAAATCGCCTTCACCATCGCAAGTAAAGAAGGCAGCCATATCGCCTGTTAGGGAAGTAAAGAGAAAAATAATAAAAGCTCGAAAGAAGCCAGTTGAAGAGGTCAAAGCCAGTCCACGTAAAAAGTTGTCAGCCCCTGGCGCTGATTTCTCACCGACAACTGAGAAGTCCACACGCACGAGTGGAAGAAAATCTAGACCAACAACACCGAAGCAACACAAAGATCGCAAAAGTCAAAATATCAGCTCCAACGAGTTGCGTGCTATGAAAAATATCGTACTAACCAAATCGATTGAGGATCTTAAAATGGAAAAGATGACAATATTTGCAAAAATGACCAGCATGCAAGAGCGAATCATTGAAACATTGGATAAGTTGCGGTAAGTTAATGCCTTAATTTTATTTTATAAGCGGATTGTTTTGCTTTTTAATTTCTTATTATAACTGTGTAATACCTAATGGAGCTGCCAATTCCCTACGATGTTAAGCGCTCACTCGGGTACAAATCACACTCTTGGCGCTAAAGCCTTTGGCAATTGGTTTTATTTCCACGAGGGTTCGTAAAAATGGTTTGTCAAGAAAACGCAATCTTCTCCTGCTTCTTGGCTGACATTGGCATAAAAATAGTTGCACATACTTTATATTATGCTTCATGAGGCATTCAAGGCATTTTCTCACTTTACTTTATTTCTGTGCACAAAAAAGCTCATTCACGTCACATTTTTTTTACAAATACCAACACATCTCTATTTAACTTGGAATGACGCTCGATCATCCTACCTTTCTCTTTCATCCTTTGAATGAGTTTATTAGCAAATAAATAAAAAGGGTGAAAAAATACCTTTCCAATTATACCTCACAAGGCTAAATCGGAATAGTTTAGGTTTAGTTATTCAATTTTTTGTACACCAATCTTTGAAAAAAGTTAAACAAAAACAGCATAAAAAATCTCATTATTACGATTCCGTTGAAAATTTAAATTTTCTTATTACATTTTATTATTTTGGTGAAAGTCTATAAGAGATTTTATAATTCCAATGGAAACACAGTACCGATTTTTTTTTTTATGGGGAGTGATGCACGAGATCCGTACGATAAGTCGAAAATAAAAATGTCGAAACAGAATTTTTTAAATCCCGAAATAATATTTTACTGAAACAGAAAATGTCGAAATCGTATCGTTTCGAAATGACAAAGGTCAAAAAAATGCAAAACGTCGAAAATGTCGAAAAAACTCGAAAAAGTCGAATGTTTGAAAAAAAATAAAAATTAAAAGTGTTCTGAGTGGCTTTTCAAAAGTTCTAGAATTCCCAAGAAGGAAAAAGAAATTTCTGCAAAATAGCGTCGAAAAAACTTTTTTCGAAAAAGTGGAATTTAAATTAAATTTTTGAAAAAATTAAAATTATTTAGGTGCTTGTCTCTTAACCTATACAAAATGTTTCGAATATTGTAAGTTCCCTTAAATTTTAAGTTCTTTTAAATATGTTGGTTTTTTTCAATATAGTAATAATTTGTTAATTTACGTTCGTTAGTACCAAGGGAATTGATTAAGTTATCTCTTTAATTATCAAACTATTAAATACTAGGTTTTATCCACTTTAAATGTAACAGAAAAGGAAAAAAGGCGGTTTGTTCGATCAAAAAACCCGGTTTATTCGCATTCGAAAAAGCAATTTTAAAAAAAAAAAACGTCTATAGATTTCAACAAAAAAGAACCGGTGGAAATCATTTGAAAAAACCGGCCAATTCTCCTACTGCCTACACGTCTTTTTTCATGCCAAAATCCCTTTGGGGTATTTCATTTAGCTTGCACAGAATAAATAGATAGACATTTCTGCTATAATTTAAACTTGTTTTTTTTTTAGATTGTAATTTAATATAGCATTTTAAGTAGAATTCTACCCACAGATCGACGAACCGTTAACTTGTTTTTGAAAAGGAGGCAACCCTTTTCAAAAATGTTTTCGAAATAAAGCTTTCTTAAACCTCACTCTTTTGACACACATATTATAATATTTTATTCAACGTGTTATTTAAATTTATTTTAACTTTCTGAAAAGATGGCAACCCTCTTAAAATATTTCTACAATAAAGCATTTTGCCTATCTCGTTTTAAACCCACATTAAACTATTTCGTTTAAACTTTTTAATAGAATTAATTTTAACTTTTTAAACAGATAGCAACCGTCTTAAAGTATATTTAGTTATCAATCAATTAATTGACTTTTATTTTTTAAATATCAAAAATACATTCGAAATATATAGTTTCTGAACCGATCGATTTTGACTGTTGAAAGAGGTGGCAACTATCTTCAAAAAAAAATATTTTACATATACATATGTTAAGCCATGATATAAACTATCTGTACTCCAAATTTAATTGATATACATCCAGACGTTTTAGCGTGAAGGAGCAACAAATTTAACTTAAATAAATCAACCTGTTGCAATAATGTAATGATTATTTCGATACATATTTTTTTCGACATTTTTATTTCGAAATTTTTTTTCTCGACATTTTTATTTTCTAGCTATTTTTTCGAAATTTTTTTTTCGGTGTTTTTAGTTTCGACATATCGTACCAGACCCGTGATGCATCCTAATGTACACAGTGAGTTAAAATTAATGGTTTATTCTAATTCTACATTTCTAGTATCAGCCTATCAGAGCTTTATGTACCGGATAGCCACCATGAGAAGACAAAGCGTCAAAAAAATGCCTTCGAATTCTCTGTAAGATTTTCACGCAATTTTCTGTATCCTTTAAAAGGCATGGTGAGTCAATGACACATTTTAATTTTTCATTCATATTTTTTCACCTTTTTTCCTTGGTTATTTATCTACAGATCGAGAATCTACACATAGTTTCGGTGGAACAATTGTGCAGTGCCTCCTCAAATGAGGCCACTCAACGTGTGCTCAATATTTTTTCACTTATTCACCAATCACTGCAGACCTATTACAAGCAATTGCGTTACTTTTTGCTCGATCAGGTGCCGCAAAAGTTGCATACGCTCATTGAGTTGGCAGCAACAACGGTGAACATTTGCCTGGAAAAGCAAATCTTCGATCGAAACGATGCAATAATTGAGTGTTTACAAGATCGTTGCACAAAATTTCTAGGTTTTCTGGAGGATATGCACGAAGAACGTTTCCTTACGGCGCGTGATAATTACCGTAAAGCAAGTTTTCATAAGGTGTTTTAGAATCAAACCTCCTAAGAATACAACAAATGAAATTTCGAATTTTTATAATTGATTTTTTTTCGATCTTAAATAATGTGTTACTTTTAACACTTCGTTTTTCCAGACTGCATCCAATTATAGCCTGAAAATGTTTATGAACGATCTAAATATGTACGAGCCAAAATTGGTGCCGAAAAATCATTATAACCTTCGGCGCAATCCCAAACAACGTCGCGTCTCAAATCCTAGCGCGAAAAATACAAACATAAAAACGAAGACGAAAACAAAAATCCACACAACAGCTCCAGCAACACCCAAAACATCACACATGGTCATCATAAAGCCCGATGGGGATCAGATTTCAACTCAGATCAACGAGTTAACAAACAGCTCGGTAAGTTCGCTTCGCTGAACCATGAATAACAATCCTCCACTTTTGCGTTCACTAACCCTCTTAACGAATGCTTTTCTTCCATCCATCCTATAGGGTATCATTCATAGCGTAACAGATATATCAGTGCCACCTGCTGAGCCGAGTATGAATTCCGATAAGCAGCCCAACTTGAATAAGGCGCTCGTCGAGGCATTGCAAACTGTAACCAAAGAACAAATGCGACAAGTGCTCCAACCTATCATGCAGACGCTGGGTACGGTGCTCGAGAAGAAGGTAAGTGTATAATCTTATGGTTGCTGGTACCCTGCAGGGTCTGCATACGTATATAAATGGCTCAACGGCCGACCACACCAGCTCCACATTAAATCCTATATTTTAGGACTTCAAACTAGGGCGCTGAATGCCAAAATATCACTAGCAGCAACTATTGTGAGATACTCATATCAGTTATATCAGTCAAGCGCCACAGCCGGGGATTGAGTAAAAAAAACTGAAAACTGAATTGCAAAAACCCCAAAAAAACAAGAAAATTTGAGAAAATTGCATGCAAATTTTAGTAGTACCTGTCTGAAGTAAATTCTTTAAAAGATTTAAGAAGTTCGTAGGCAACAATGAAAGTGAAATTGGGCGTTGGTACCTGTAATCCAAATCGACGGCTATAAAATCGTTGTGTTGAGTGACTTTTGCATTTGAATAAAATTCACCCACAAAAGGATTGTAATATCGCGGTCACTTCGTTTTTTTTCTGAAAAACTGTATCCTTTCGCTGCTATGTCCTCATGTCATTGTCTTTTCAAAATTATATGTGTTTTTTTGATGATTCGCTTTCGATATGTTCCTGCGCATTTTTCGATGTAATGTTTTAAAAACAAACAGTGTCTTGTCAAAATAAACGAGAGCAGATGAGTAAAAAGTAATGGGGTCAAATCAAATTCACGCCGAACTTTGCTAATTTACATAACGATCAAATGTGACCGAAACCAGATAAATCGAATAAAAACAATTTTATTTGAGGTAATAAAGTTAAAAAAATAGATTATCCATTTAAGCTGAGCGATCAAATAGTATTCTCAGAAGTTTGCTTTATTCTCATTGTATGTATATTATTGTGGTGGTGGTCGATGTTTCAATGCATAGCAAAAATCAGCACCGATGCTAGAATAAGTATGTTTATCGCCAGAAAAGCATCGATATATCGATGGCTTTTTGTTTTAATTTTTTTTTTAACCCAATTAAATTCAATGGCACATTTAATCAATGCAGTCTTTTCAAATGAAGTTAGAAAAATACTTTTGTATTTCCCTGTATTTAATTAGTATTCCGCGCTTAACATCGTAAATTCGCCGGGCCTAAAGTTCCAAGGCCTGAAATCGAAAAAACATGAAGATGTAGTAGATACATGGTCCGCCTATTTAAGTATTCTCAATGCTGGACGATAAATTCGCAACTTATATGTTCTCCCAAAGAATTAATGGTATAAAAATTCCTGAACAGTTAAAAAAAATTTTGATAATCAATGGATAAGTTTAATCCGAAGCTTTCAAAGTTTCAGAGTTCAAATGGGCATCGATTTATCGACAATTTCGCCATGTTGCAAATTGTTAAATATCGATAGCAATCATCGAATTTCAGGTCTATATTGAGTCTAGTCATTGAACTCGTGTCGATCGGAAATCATGAAATTTTCCTATCATTTTCTATACAAAAATCTCAAATTTTTCGATCGACACGAGCTCAATGATTAGACCCATTGTCTCCAAAAAAGCAATACACCTTTGCGTCGCTAGTTACACAACCTTTTTAGTCACGCATTTTTTTTTTTAATTATACACGATTTTACATTTTTGCACAAGTTTATGTACATAAATATATGCGGTGGCCACTGTGGTATAGCGGGGTTAATGTGCGCACTACCATTCCGCAGTGCCAGGGATCGAGCCCATTTTTCGACTAACATCAAAAACAAAATAAAAGAAAAATGTTTTTGATTTTCTGATAGCGGTCGCCCGTCGGCAGGCAATGGCAAACTTCCGAAGAGTGTATTTTTGCGATGAAAAACAGCTTCTCATAAACATAAAAACGCACGCAACAAATCGGTGATGAAAGACTAGAATCTTTTCAGACTCATAAATTCCGAGCATTCAAAATTTTTTTAAAAGGTTGTGACAATTGCAAGTACTTACAAATTAAAGAATTAGAGAACTGAGACAAATTACGGCGTCCGTAATCGTATGATTACTCGATTTGCCTAAATTGTTATATGTTCCTGCCAATTTTGAATCTGACTCTGTCAACATATATAATGCTGAATACAGCTCATAAAAATATATGGAGGACTTGGTTGAAATTTTAAATATCGCTCATTTACTTCAATAGCATCATAATCCGAAAATGCAAATGTGGAGTTAAGTACGCACAAAGTGTCATAGATGTATCGATTGCCAGTAGTAGCACTAGGTCAAAAAATATGTATTCATTTTTAATAGGGGAGTATGTGTAAATTAAAAACATTAAGCTGTTTTTCTTGAGTTTGGTTTTTTTTGAGTTATGATACTATTGAAGTAAATGAGCGATATGCCCTCAGTAATCAAAAATTATTATTTGATTAATGAAAGCTCTTAATAAAATTGAACTGTTAAGCCTTAAATCAACAATTAGTAGATAGAATTAATAGCTAGGGATATTCCTATACACGTAAATACGAGTATGTACTCAATACTTTTGTTACGATACCAACTACTTTTTTTTATTCGAGTCGTTGTTTCGATACCTACTTAGTATCGAAAGAAAAGTACTTGTATCGAATCGATTTGAGCAAATGCCATATTTTGTCGGCCATATTTTTCCTATGGATGAATCTTTGCACAGCGTCGTTTTTATAAAATATAATTACTTTAAACAATGACACCGCCAAAATCAGAAGTGTGGATATATTTTTACAAAGTTGGTAATACCACAGCAAAGTTCAAGCAATGCTTTGTAGCCATAAAGTTGTGTGGGAACCTTTCAAAGGTTGAATTTTTTGCCTAAGTAATCGTATTGCCTGTAGCGTATAAATAAAATAAATATACATATCGACACCTGAGTGGAAGATTGAAGTATCTCAGAAAACTTTTTAATAACGCCCTATTTCAGAATTTGGTTCAAAACGCCCTACCTCAACTGAAAATATAGAGCGTTTTTGAATCGGCAGTTGACAAAGGCCGTTTTTGCACCGAACTCTGAAATAGGGTGTTCTTGAAAAGATTTCTGAGATAAGGCGTTTTTGAACTGGCTGCCGAGATCGGTTCATCTTCCACTTAGGTGTCACAGATAACGCCTGAAAATTACTTTCGCTTTATAAGTAGGTATCGATACATTCGGTTTTCTCATATACATAAGTAGTATCGAAAAGCGATTTGAATAAACTCATTTAAGTATGTATCGATACTTTGATGCTAAACAAGTTATTAGCTTATGACGGTAAGCTAATTAAAAAATTATAGCAAATAACTGAAGTGATTCAATTACAATATGTATAAGTACATGCAGTGGCCAACAAAAGTACTGGCACAGTGAATGTTTCGCACCAAATGCAAAGTTTTTTTATCCAATGCATTTTCGATAATTTTTTATAAAAATATAGTTCTACTATACAAAAAAAATAAAAAATAAAATTTCTAACCTTTTTACAAAGCTCAGGAAAATTCAATAAATTTGCATACTAATTTGCAACTTTCTATGCAGTTTTAAAGACCATTCAATTTTAGTACCACAAAGTGCAAGTTTAAAGTTGCAAGAGAATCGCGTTAATTTTTGGAATTTTTTTTTTGGGAAGGTGTTGCTAATTTCTCCATAAAAAAATAGTCGTCGAACACACTTTGTGTGGAAGAACCTGCGTGAAGAACATTGCCAAAACCCACGCGATTTTCTAGCTACTAAATCTAAGTCTAAAAAATCTGAATAGAAAGTTGAAAATTAGTATGCAAATTTTGAATTTTGCTGAGTTTTGCACAAAATTTACAGTTTTCATTTTTATGGTTCTGAGTAGTTGGTAACACTAAATTACCTATAGTATCGTAGGGAATGACGCGAGATAAAAATGACTTTCGCCGATTTTTCAAGAGGCTTTGCAATAAAACACACATTTATTGATCGTTTTAAATTTAAAATTTTTATAAATGTTATTTAAAATTGATCTGAGAAAGCTTAATATTGTTTTTTTTTGTAGATTTAAAGCCGTTACTTTTTATGTTGTTGGTTTATGTTTTAATTATTATTAATAATTATTTTTATATAGTAATTATAAATTTTCAAAAATAATTTATACGTTAACATTAAGAGTTTAATAATATTAATTTGGGAATGTTTCGAAAAAATATTGTTCATGCGACATAGAGTAAATACAATAGATATGTACATTGGCTGTAATAATTGCAATTAATTTTCAAAAGCAAATACCCACCTAAAATGTTTTATAAATTTTTGGTAATACCTTACATATTACGCAAACTTATGAAACCATATCCAAATGTGGTGATAAGCTTCTTTTGAAAAGTAAATGCGAAAGTTACATAAAATGACTATAATTTTATTGTTTTTTTTTTTTTGTAATTTCGTGTAATAAGTATTTGCTGTCCACTCTTTATATAAGTTGTCAAAATTTTAGTCGAGTGCCATCTACTGTCCAGCGGGAAATATTCGATAATTTATTGCTTAAGTAACAAAATTTTAATTTTTGTATGAAGCGTGTAGAGAGACTACCAAAAAGCAATTTTTTTCCGTTACCAAAATATTTTAAATTTTAATTTCATTCGTGTTAAAAAACAGTAGTCCAGAACAGAATGAAAATCGCAAAAATTCAAAATAAAAAAATTTGTTGCTTAGGCGAATTAACCATTAAAATTTACATGATTTTTAGTACATGTTTTTATTAAAAAAGGCCTTAGTAATATAAAACAATTAAGCTTAATGTTTTCCTTTATCAAAAAATCAGAGAAAATATAGAAGCAACGATTTTCTTTAAACGATTCAAACGCAAATAGAATCTTAAATAATTAGTTTGCCTGCAGTAATTGGGAAAAATATCAGTTCGTATGGTCGAGTATATAATTTTTAAGGGTTCTTAAAGCGCATTTTTAGACTAAGCCTACTTCAAGGCTATGCTGTGAAGACATAGTACATACAACAGCTATTTAGTTCGTACGATAGTCGGTCATTCGGTTGTGAACAGCGTTCGGCGCGTTAATTTGTGTGTTGGCCTGTGTGGACTGTGGTTATGTGGATCGTGTTTATGTGGAATGTGTATTAAAGTGTTATCTGAATACTTTTTTTTGAAAATTTGTGCAATTTTTTATGTGTATTCTGGTTAGTGGCGCAATAGCGAACACATTTAAGGGGAAATTACATATTTGAAAAACAAAAATTCTTAGCTGCACGAATTCTTTCTGACTCGTAATGTGTACATTTTTTCTCTTTTATCTCTTTTGTTATTTGAGTTGCATTTAAAATAAAAATTTTCGGGTAATTATTCGTTTTGCTTGCTATACATTGTTCATCGCATGCACATTACATAATCACTTCTTTGCTTTTCGCTGCGCTTATTTGTGGCTCGTTTTAGGCTGAGCACTCGGTACAGACTGGTTTGTTCTCTTCAACGGCGAATATACTCGCTGTGATAGGATTGGCGCATTTCTGAAAATGAATAAAAATGGATAGAAAACTTCATTCTCTTTTATTGTTTCAATGTAGTCATTCACCTTGCATTTAAAGCAGTCCCTATGCCATTTGGCATTTAACGCCACAATCGCATTCTCTGTGATAGGTTTTGTGCAGCCAGCGCAACGTGCCGCAAAGAGTTCCTCAAAGTCCGTTTTACAATAGGCCCGGCCATCGCGCTCGTAGAAAGACGTACCGACTAGGGGTTTGTGGCATGGTCCGCCACACACAAAGCAATCCTCATGCCATGTTTGGCCCAAAGCTTTAATTGTGCGCTGAAAGTGAGAAGAGATCAATTTAGAAAAAGGTAATTTTGCAAGTACAGAAAGTTTTAAATTAGATGTCAAAATGGGAAATACTTCCTTCATCTAGATTATGACCAGGGAACGGATTTTATGGAAACTGCCTTTTTTCTGCTAAAGAGATAGAGTATATTCGATTAAGAATGTCCACGATTTAGCTTTCCCTGATTCCATATATACACATTTGATGTTGCCTTTTTTTGCCTTTTTTAAGATATTTGCCTTTTTTAAGATATTTGCCTTTTTTTGCCTTTTCTACATTTAAAAAAGTGATTATAGCATTTACAATTTTTGTTTTTAAGATTAAAAAATATACACATGCCCATGCGGCTTATAAAAGCGCAGGGACCTCTTGCCAAATTGGTGTTGAAAAAATTCAAAGCCGTTTTCTCAGCTAACGTAGGCTTGAAGACAATAAGGGGTGTGGATAAAATTGTAAAGGGCGAGGAAAACGCCCTTATTCCTGATAATATGAACGTTTCAAACGTTCCATATTTAAATTGGGCTCTACTTGTATCAACTTACGTCGAGCGCACAATTTAGTACATTCAAGGATTTTCTTCGCGGAAATCGAATGAAAATGCTGCCAGAAAACTTCAAAATGCATCTTGTGGTTCAATGTTACTACAACTATACAAATTAAAGTTTTATGAGTTAGAAACTCGAAAGGATAAAATAGTCAAAGATTCAAAGTTCAAATTTTTCGTATAATGAAACTAGTTCATAGTTTTTCTCTTCTTATTTGTAAAAAAAAATATATTTTTTGATTGTTCTTCGTATTTTCTGTCTTTTTTTAGTGCCTTATTTTGCTTTTTTTGCAATACCTTTTTTTTTGCCTTTTCCTGCCTTTTTCGCTACTTTATTTTGCCTTTTTTATAGGTTTTTAGGTCCTAAAAATCCGTTCCCTGATTATGACAAACACATTCCAGTTATCATTTCTTCCAGTACAATTTTGCATACCCACAGAGTTAGAAAATCATACTCATTCGAAAACGCCCTATCTATCATAATATGTTATAGCGAGCTCACATCATTCCAAACACTTAAATGTCTGCAGAGAACAATCGGTTCCTAATAGATTGCATCATTTTTTTAGCAACATGCCGATCTCCTACGAAAACCCAAAATCCGAATCAGCACCAACCGGTAAAAAGGGGTAGTCTTAGTGATAGAACTTTTCATAAAAGTTTTGATACTAGTACTCATATAGAATACTCTAAAAAATATCGATGCCAGTACTCATATTTGCAAAAAAGTATCGATAATACTCGTACTTCCAAGTATTGTCAAAGCAAACGCAAAAAGTAAACAAAAATCAGATTGCCTTGCTTTTTTCACCTCTTCCCATTTGTAAATTGAATAGTCACTGCTCATAATAGTTTTAATCTGATCTACAGGAGTTTTTGGAATAAATTTCCGATAAATTAGTTTTACATGCGTAAATTAAACGTTTATAGCAAAAAGCTTTTAAAAGCAAATATTTTATAATTGGTTGACGCGTAAATGTATTTATAAATAACTTTACTTTGAAAATTAAATGTAAATGTAGAAGACGAGAAGCAAATGTGGCGAAGCCCACTTTCTATTGGAAAGATAAGCTCTCTTTTATAAAAATTTTCTTCAAGAATGGGCTAGATTTCACAAGATAAAATACATGGGTTAACGATGGCTGCCTTAAGCTGTCGAGTCGGAAGACCATCCTCTTCCACCATTCATTATCAAAGGGAGGCAAGATATTCGTTTTTCAATTATTTAAACATTTTTACCCAAAGCCAATGTTGAAGTGACCGCTACATTTTCTTCTAGGTTGTGTAAAAATTTCAAAACTGTGTCAATTACCAGTAGCTCACTAGAACAAATAATGTACATATTAATTATTAGTATGGGAGTATACATATCGTCGCCCGTGTGCCATAAACATGAATGTGTAAAAATTAAAATTTTGGGAAATCAAGTTTGAAAGTTTTTTTTTGCGAAACTTAGTATTTACTTTCCGTGTACGCGTGGTATTCTGGGTTTTGGTATAACATAGAAAATCCAAAGATTAACCAAGTCAACCCAATAACTCAAAACTGATAAATTTGCACATTCATGCTTCTGGCATGAGGGTGACGCTATGCGAATTAAAAACTTTAAAGGCGTGTTTCTCGGGTTTTCGGTTTTTTGAGTTATGACAGTATTGAAGTAAATGAGCTTTATGTTCATTTTCGTAAAATTCATATTGAATATTAAAGTTAATATTCGAACGTTTGCCACTATATTTGTTGAGTAATTTATAAAAAAATATTACTTAAAAAAGTTCTAAACTCGTCGATACTTTTCGGCATTCACTACTTGTGAAAAAGTTTCGAGTTTTCGATACTACTCAGTACTCATGAAAAGTATCGATATTCTGTTCTCGGTACTCGTATCGTTCTATCACTAGGTAGTCTGGCTATTACGCAACGCCAGTTTAAAAAAAAAAATCTTTCAATTTGCTCACGCAAGGGACCGAACATAACAGTTATTGTTGAAAACTACCATTGAAAATTTCACTATAAGGAAAATGTTCTGCACCTAAGCGAGATATTATCGATTTATTTTTTCACCAATTCACCAAACAATTATTTTTGATTTTCATATAATCAGGTTAATAACAGTTATTTGTGATATTTATATTATATGTCTTGGATAACAGTTATTGAAGATTTATGAAAGTCATTAGTAAAAATCAGTCAGTGACTTTTACTTTTAAATGTCATCAATATAAATCAGTCACCGAGTTTTTTTTTCAGTCATACGTATAAAAGTCATTATCATTTTTCGCAGTTAAGAAGGTGTTGGAGAAAAAATTTTACCACGACTTATACAAATGACTTTTATAAGTATGATTTAAAAAACAAAAAATCAGTGACTGATTTATATTGATGACTTTTAAAGGTAAAAGTCACTGACTGACTTTATTTATGACTTTTATAAATTAAAGTCTTCAATAGCTGTTAGCTAACACATATAATTTAAAAATCAAAAATAATTGTTATTTGCAGATTATTTAGGTAAAAATCAAATATAATTGTTATTTTTAATTTATAAATTAAAAATCAAATAACTGGTATTTAAGGAGTAATTAAATAAAAGTCAGAAAACAATTGTTAAAAAGCGATTATTTTAATAAAAGTTGTAACTGATACGGTCCCTGGCTCACGCTGCTGCAACTATCACAGTAGCCGACAGGTTAGAGCGCGTTCTTTTTTCGTAATATCCGAATCTTTGTTTTTTAGCTTAATTTAATTATTGTAAGTAATTTCCTTAAATAAATATTTTGTTTGTGTAAATTTGTTACATCATCGATTGTAGGTAAACGAGAATCCCATAAATGAACAGCTGGCGGTTCAATCTTTTTCTATAGTATGTATTTTCATTTTTTTCCTGTTCGTGCGAGTTAAAGGTGAGAACAGAGCAGTGTTGCCACAAAAAATTACCAAATTCTTCAAAAATTCAGATATTTACAGGTACTTAGTATAAAAATTAATTACATTTTCAAATTTAATTGGTACATTTGTTCTTGCGGCTCAAACAAAGTAGCACCGTTATTTTTTATGCCTTGCTTTGTACTATATAATATTGCTGCAACTATACCAGTGCTCAATCTGGTCCTCAAGTCAGTCCTACACATTTTTAAATTACTATAATAGTAATGCAGATATATATTTTTTTAATTGGGAAACTTATAAGAACCTGAAGAATCTTTTAATACAAGAACTTTTTTCCTATAACTTTCTGGATCTAATGAAGAATCAATATGAATATTCTTATGATCGAACAATGCGTGTTCTCTCCATTCGTTATCGAGATTTTCCAAGTACAAAATAAGTTGAAAATATAATGATGGAATGAAAAACGTTATCGATAACATTTTAAATTTTTAGCAGGCAATGCAGATGTGCTTAAAATCGAAAAACACCACAGAAGCGGCTTGACAAACCAAGCGAAATATCCCATTGCTTAAAGCTATCTATGTTGGGCATGGAGGTGTTTGAAGCTTTGACAAGCCGTTTGAGGGTAATTGGAAAAAAAAAATCAAAATCTGTTTAACGATTTAACAACTCTGTTGTGTGAAACATGGTTGCATTTATTATCTGCAAATATATCGAGAGAAAATTCCTCAAAATAAAAATCCTCAAAAAATACTCAAGCGCGCCCGAAATTCCTCACGTCTTGAGGAATTACTCACAAAGTGGTCACACTGGAACAGCGCCCACGTAAAATAACAGAATCTTCCGCCTACACATCAATCACCAGGCCAGTTCAGACATTCAGTGCCTGCGGCGCATGCGCGCGTGCTTGGTGTTTACCATGTGGTCATTGTAGTGAGTCGAGGCGAGGAATCAGTAAATATAGAAATGAATGTACATAAGTATGTGTTTTCAAAAATATTTATACATACATATACACATGGTGAACACCATGCATTGGCATATTTTTATACATATGTGTGTATGTATGTATGTATGTACAGTCAATCAATAAAGTTTAGGTACAGCCATTTTTTTGCAATACGGGCAAGTGTTTCTTAATTTTTTTTTTTGCAAATTTTTTATAAAAATATCGTTAATTTTACGGTCACGACCCCAAAGGACCGAGCTCCAAAAAGAAAATTCTGCAAATGTTCATGATAATATTACACTTTTAAATTAGTCTTTAGAAAAAAACTGAATATGCAGTTTTTTAGCACATTTTATATGGAGAAAATGAACGACACCTTCAACTAAAAAACTTGCCAAAAATCATTAGTAAGTCCTAGTTAGCTCAGACTTGCGCTTTGTTATACTAGAATTGAATGGGCTAAAAAACTGCATACTCAACTTTTTTTAAAGGGGTGTAATTATTGAAAAGTGCAATAATTTAATAAAAAAAATGTGCAGAATTTTCTTTAATTCTGCACAAGGTTTGGAGCTCGGATTTTTGGGGTTTATATTGTAGAATTAATCATA